CTATAATCGAATGCAAGATGAGAAGACCCACCAAAGTTTCCTCGACGATTTAATTATTAATAAACCAGAGGGAACAAAATTAGAACTATTTGAGGAAAATTTGTAAATAGAGAAGAATAAAGTGTCCGTAAACAACCAACCTACAATTCCAAGTACTTTTCTGAGGCTCAGCAGCGAGTGGGAAGTGTTGGATAATAGAGCAAAATACATTAGACTTATTTAGCATCCCGTTTTCCAAAACAAAACCTCAGAACATTTTTGTGGTCATAGCCCAAGAGTGGATATTTTGAGGGCTGCACAAGAACATCTACAGCCGTTTTTCACAGTGACAACCGGGTTCCGGCGCATGTTGAAACATTCAACATACACGCAAGATTGTCCATTTAGCCAATCCACAATGGCATGGGATAGCCCTATCTCAGCAAGAAGATGTGACTCACAAAAGGAACCACGCTATCACCAAGGCATGCCTTAGCATAGCTATATTTCAGTTGCTAGACCAAACTGTTTTAAAAGGATTAGGGGTTTCTTAAAGCGGAAATTGCATTGTTGAACGGATTCTCCGGAGGAGGGAGAGGTAAGAGAGGAAACTGACCTTGGAGGCAGCGAGGGTGGAGCAAACTCGTCAGCAGGTGAGCTTGAGGACCGATCGGAACGAGGCAGAGAGCCCTGTCTGGGACCCATTCCAGACAGAGGGTCTTGATGAAAGGTTTTGGGCGATGAACAGCTTTGAAAATCTGGCGTCTATAAGTGGGAAAGTAGATTCTGATGACAGGAATTCGCGAAAACCTGATTAATTTTTGAAATAAACAATTTGAATCGTTTGCACTTACTTCGGGACTAATTTTACAAGGTGGTCTAAACGTACTCATCCAAATGAATTAGATACGGCCCGGCTGTTCTTCAGTGGTGGTTATTTATTGCAGTAAACTTATCACAAATAAGTTGTTACACATCCTGCAGTTCTTCAATACACCATTGAACAGATGAATGCCAAATCACTGAGGCACAAAAGGAAAGTTCTAATAAGAGCAATAAAACTAGATAATGAGGCGACTCCACACTGCCTTATGAGCAACCTTCCCTTAGTAACCTTCTATTCTCACAACTCTTTGAAATTAGAGCCATTTTTGGCTAGAAGATGCCTAACTGTTAATAAGGTCCCCAATGAGCCTATCAACCATACGTAATAAAGCTTAGTTTAAACCACTGACATTTTCAAGTTGAAATGCGTTAGACGTGTCTGAAAGCTCGAGATATGCGGGCTTTTAAGAATGCACGTGCATTTCTTAACCTAGGGGGGATCTAAAAACCCAATACAGTTCTAGTTTGACGTAGATTTTCAGATTGGCAATGCGTTGGCATACTGCAAATGGAATAGGATGTTAATGAACAACTTTTTCCCTTATTATGCCCTCAAAAGATCCGTTTTAAAGCAGCTTCCAAAGGTCCGTTTTTTGAGCTCTGGTCAAAACCGTCCTATTCAAAGACTGATGGGTTTGAAGGAGAGACCATCCTTTAAGGCCCAGAAAGGCGCAGAAAAGTGGTCTCTACCTTCTCTTGTAAAGCTCCAGCAACTACAGCAGTAGTCGCGTTGTAAACACGCATACTTAGTCAGCAAACAGAAAGTTAATGCACGCGCAGGCACACACACGCACGCAGCATAGAAATCAATAGTCCCCTACGGACGCACCGCAGACCAGCACGCACACGACTTCTGCCCAGTACACATGCGCACACGCACGCACACACATCTGCGCACATTCAACATGCGCGCACGTCACATAGGGAACGAATGGGCGGTCGGGACATACGTACGCACCACGAGCACGCATTCTCGCCATGATGCCTCCAGCATCGCAGAGCGATTATCTTCTCCCACCCTCGTAGCAGGCAGTAGAAGTGGTAGTAGATGTTCCGAACTGCCGCCACTCTGTCGCCAGCTCTGATTGGTGGGTCGGTGTTAGCACATGAGGGTATCAACGCGCGGAGCGTGGATCTTAACAGGCCATTATTGCAACATTTCGTATTTCTCCTTCATGTCTCATTTCACCCGAGCAATAACGTAACCACGTAAATATAGTCATGCACAAGTGGATGCTGCGTGGCGCAATGTGAAATGGTCAACAGAGCAAATAGAGAAGCCTAATCAACTGCCAATGCCTCAAAGATATGCGTAGTTAGACAGCTAGGAGCTTGGAAAAATGATTTTAAAACTGACTACACTTAAATGAGAATTGGAAGGAGAACTCTTATGCATAGCAATTGCTTCGATCTTTGCGCTCCAAGAGAAATTGGACGTAGCCCCAGCCACAATGCAAACAGATGCCTATGAGAATTGCAAAAAGGACTCAAGTTTTACTTGGATTATTGATAAAGGAGAGAGAAGTTCTTGTGATAATCCCATGGATTTTGACCCTGAACCGACAATCAAATGACTTTTGTCAGATAAATCAGATTTGACCAATTCGAGAAGTGCAAACTTACCACATCCACAATTATGGAGGGGGACGAATTCATTAATATAAAAATAGGACAGAGAGCTCAAGGTCTAATTTCGGCGACAAGTCACACCCGAGTTAAAAAAAAGGGACAAAATAATGAAACCAACATATTTGAGTTTATGAAAGTGGGTAAAATGCTACAACCGAGGAAAATGGCAACTATCATTGTTTAAAAACGCAGCAAAATGTGCAACCGATGAAGCAAATACCATAATGTTGGTTGAAATGAAATAACAGTACATTGGTAGTTGAAACAACTATGTTCACTTTAAGCGCCAGAAATTAAACGAGATGTAGCTGAGGGAGTATACGATTAGGCAATTTTTAAGAGAGTAATTCAAGGTTACTAGAGGTGATAAGAGTTTTTACCGAATACTAGCACAAACGGGATGTATTCACGTCAATGGAAAAACAGTTAAGGAAGCCG